CTATGCATTGGAATATCACTACAAATAATGAAAAGCAGCTTAAAAATAATATAGTTTTACTTTATTTTTGAAATTTGATAATCCTTCTCGTACTTTTTCTTTTTAAGTTGAGACGAAAAAAAGCTATTACTTTTTTCTAAAATATCGTAGCGAAATCATGCAAGCTACATAAAAATGCTTAATTTCAAGTTGTATTTCTACTGATTCAAGTTTATTAAGAGTGTTTTAAATTTAGCTGGCTTTTCTGTGAAACGGAAAATAAAAATAGAAAATAAGATAAAAAGTAAGTACCAACTATATAGCTCGCATTCATGATAATTGTACTTTGGAAAGCTACTTTTCTTTCTTTTTTTCAATTAAACGGAAATTTGTGTTTACATAAATGAAGGAAAAAAAAAGATTAAAGTGCTGCCAAAAACTAATCTTAGTGCTAGTTGAATCGGAAAATAAGAGTCCTGTTACCGTAGAATAAAAGTGAGGAGTCTTATGGCTTTCCTCTCATTGTAACTAAAATGGTGGATCTATTTTAAAAAATTACACCCAAGTTTCAGTTGAATGTTGAATGCATGAATGTCTAAAATTTATTCTTAGGTGATTTTTTTTCTTATGGAGGGAAATAAAGTGAGAGAATAAAGTCATTGAATAATATTCTTTTTTAGAGACAAAAATCTATATTTGTCTCTATATATTATGATTTACCTATATTAATATTATTTATTAAGTAATATTCATTAATAATAATAAGAATCGTTACAAGGAAAACTCGGTAATGGAGAACAAAACGAGAAGCATAAATAGCCTTAAGAAGTCTGAAAAATTTAAACCTCGAACCCTAATTCGGGCAAAAATTATCTGCAGTGTTAATTTCATCAGAGTCTCAAAGTTTTAAGGCAAAATTGAGATATCTTGCCTGTTCTTGCGATCTTTAAATCATCCTTTAAAAATAGCATTCCCATATATGTTCACAAATAAGGTTACACTGCACTGCCTTCGAAATTTTCACACTTTATTATACAATTAATCTCTATCATGGAATTATTTTACATCTAATGCAAAAAAAAAAAAGTTTTTTCTTTTTGTTTTTTTAATATAAACATATTTTAATTGTATTTTAATAATATTTTGAGAGATTGCCTAAATTAATTTTAATTTACTATAAAACTTTTCAATAACTTTCCTTTTTGTATTTTTTTTCTACAGGGCTAAGTATTTTTTTTTTAATTTCCTATTTTAAACTCTGAAAAAAGTAAGCATGATCAAGGAATGATTTTGAAAAATTATACATTTATATATTAATATTCGAGATTATTACGTATGCTGTGTATTATTTAAAATGAGCAAGAGTTGCATGAGAAATATTTATTAAGATATAAATTTTCCTAGGCATGCGTTTTAAGACAAAATTGATTTAATGCTATAAAATTTAGTTTTTAAAAAAGTAAAATCATAAAATGTTCTAGGAGTTTCCTCTTTGAAATAATTCATGCTGCCATCTATATACGCTAAACTAAACTAAACTGAATGTGCAGTTTATTTCATAAAATTATCTATTTATTTTTATCTCCATCCACTAAATGCATCTAGAAATATCAAATAAAAAATAAAAAACAATTCTCCTCGACTTTGTGTTAAGGTATCTAAATATTTTTTTTGGCGGGGGGGGGGTGCTGTTCCAGATCTTTAAATAGCAATGCATTCATTCAGGTATATCTTTTTAGTTATCTGACGCCAGTTTTAAATTTTATTAAGCTATTTGTAAAGTGATAAATCAGAATTGGTTTTATTTAAATTTAAACATTATTAATCAAGCTTGAAACTACTTATACTACATACATTAAACTACTTACATTTTGTCCTTAACAAAATTATATGCTTCATGACGCATTATAGGACTTATCTACTCATATGATATAGCAAATAAGTTAATTCTATAGCATATAATTTCTTTATACAGTTAGTGTAGTCTATTTTTCTCTAACTTAGCATTTTATTATTTCAAGTTTTGGAAAGTATTATAATAATTAAAATGATTTTAATCATTAGAATAAAATCAATACTGTGTGTTATGTAAAATTAAATTTTTTTTCTCCGTCAGATATTTCATATTATTCAGCTTTCTTAATATTCTATTCTTCTATTCTAAATGTAATATCTCTCAACAATATGTCTAAGCATTTTTTCTGCTTGTACAACACTGTATTTCTGATCTTATACTATTTAAGTAGATAATGAATGCATTTCCATCGTGCACTTTGATCATCTTAAGTCACTTTGACATCACAATAAATTTATTATATAGCGTAATATATTAAAATATTTCATAATTAAAGTAAGTTGAAAATAATACTAATTAATTATAAAAGCATGTTTTAGATAAAATTGTTTCGTGGTGAGTTCATAGACAGGTACGAAATCTGATTCGTATAATTAATTTTATAAATATGGTGCAAAACGACAAAAATAAAAATCACGGTAAAGGAGTTTAAATTCATGACTGCTCTTTTTAATAAATTTTTTGAGCTATATTTTCAAGAATGCATTTTCTAAGGTGAGAGGTTTATGCATTCATAAAACAAAATACACATTTATTTTGTGTTATCAAATATGTTTAGTCCATTTTATCAACATTATGGTAATTGATATCATTTAATCGAGATGGGATGGATAAAATTTCGCTAAGATCTGAAAAGAGACTTTCAAAAATTTGAAATCGGACTTTATGACTATCATCGGACTTTTATGACTATTATCGGACTAATATTCATTATTTACTATAATATAAAATTTGTTTTTAATTTACTTTTTATAATACCTACAATTAACCAAAAATTTAGAGCATTGCACGATAATGCTTTCTGTGACACTTTGTTCTTTATCTATTATTAGTTGATTCTCGCTGTTGTAAATCAAAATCAACACGATGTACCTATATATTTTCTTTAAAAAATAGGTGATAATTTTTTTTGCTCATAGTTTTTTAATTAGGTTATTTATTAATTTAAGAAAAAATATTTTTTAAACAGGAACACTATTTCTACTTGAAGCTTGTTATCTTCATGTTTTCAACAAATTTCTCAAGTAGTTTTCTATTAAAAGCTTTAGAAGGATAAAAATACATATTTTAAAGCTTAATTTTTTTAAGTAGCGTTTAAATTAAGCTATTTTAGAAAACACCACATAATTATTTTCATGAAAAAGGGTATTTTTGTCGTTAAGAGGGCGTCGTCATTTTATGATGCATAAAACGTCAAATAGCATCCTTCTAGCGTAATGATATTTTTATTTTATTTATTTATTTTTTTATAGATATATGCTATGCGTCATATACAAAATATTTGTTGTTGATTATAAAAAAAGTTCAAATCTTATAAATAAAAAAGTGACTTATAAATTTCTTAATTTTTTAAAATTTCATAAGATAAAACAATGCTCTTATTTTGCTTGAAATGATAGCGAAAATTAACAAGAAAGAGGTAAACTATTTTGATAAAATCTCTTGCCCTCAAAACAATTGCTTAGTGCAAGCGCCCAAATCGTTTACAATTTGTGATTTAAAATAGTCTCTAGTCATCCTAGAAATATATTTTTGTTATAATACTACCAAGTGCAAAATAAAAATATGAACATCTTAAATAACTTTTATTCTAATGAACGGATTTGCTCATTCTAGAACTGAAAGTTAATGGTTAACATGAGCATATTTCAGGTAACCATAAAGAAAATTATAGTATTAGGTAACCTTAATTACTTATTTCAGAAACGTATTTTCTCTGAATAAACATACATTATTTTTCAACGGTTTGGATTTCGGATTTTTTTATCTAATTGGGCAATTTTTTCACAATTTTTCACAAACTATTTATTAATTTTCATTATTGTATTTAATAATAGTTGAAAAAAATTGAATAGTTAAGCATAAAATTTGTTTACATTGTTTAAAAGTAATGATTTCAAAAGGAAAAATGTAAATTCTAGTTTCAGAAAATAATTTAAAAATTAATGATTTACATAAAGTTTAACTAATAAGCCATTAATCCCTTAAAATCTTGAACAATATGGAATATCAATATAGAAATAATAGATGTGTAATATACTCTTTGAATAAATTTTAAATTCGAATGAAAGATACTGATTTGTGAAAATGGAGAAATTTAAAAAAAATGATTTATTTTTTAGTTATTAATGGTCGATACAGTTAGCGAAAGTGGAGATTTTGAAGTCTTCAAATATATGACCATTATGAACCGAACTTCATAACGTTTGCCTTTATCCTAACCATTAATCACCACATATATTTTTGCTCTATTACCCATAATGTTTTTAAATCTAACTCAGATTTTCAGTGTGAATCTAAATAAATTTACCTGGAAAGCTCTAATTCGTGGGAGAATTAAAAAACTAAAATGGGTAAACAATTATTTATATACATAAAATTCTTTTCGATTCAACGAGTTGTATAAATGGTTGTAACTATATTTTGACTTACGCAATAAGCTTCTATAATCTGATAAGCTATGCAACAAACATGAATATTTTTAAGGTAGTACGAATTTTCGATTGTTCTTTTAACAAGAGTTCTATGAGAATCATGTTTGGCTTTAAGGTGAAAAGCAAAATTTCTCTAAAAAAGGAAATATTAAGACATAGTGCAATTTAACGTATAAAATCAGGATTTAAATTAATATATACAGTAATTAATTATCACATCTTGAACCATGGCTCATCGCAACGTGTTTTTTTCCCTATCTGTTCCAAAGTATGAGATATGTATTTAGGATATGGATTTTTTTTTTCAATTTCAGATACATGTCTCAACAGTTTTCTTCTAGCGAAAACTATTTTTATCTTCAACCATCTAAAAACTTAAATAATAATAGCTAATGGAAGAAAATAATTATCAGAAAATGCATTTCACTCGCTTCTAATAGTATCTATATAAATTGTTAACATGATTAAGTCAAACATTAAAAACCTTAATACCTGTTAGGCATAACATTCAAATCTAAATTTTTTCTTTCAAAAATCCTACTAAGAAATATGCTAAAATTATCCAAAACAATCTTATCTCAATCAAAAAAGTCTTCTAATTCTCTTTTTCAACAGCAATTGTTTGTTACGGTGCACGATGATTTTTATTTAAAGAATAATTTTTGTATCATTCATCTTAATTTTGAGTTTATTTCTTTGTGGTTCTGTAACACCCTATTTTTTTTCTCTTTTAGTACCTGTTTAAAGATCCTTTAACAAATCATATACAATGCATCTGTTGTAAAAAAATGAAGTAAGTGATCTTATGGAATGGATCATTAACCACCGTGGAGACAGAAAATGGATGTCCAAGTAGAACAGACGTTGCGCAGACGATGACGACGGAGGTTGGTTTAAGTTCTTAGTGCGTTTGTTGACGAGGATTTTGCTTTCTAGCCTATATGAGCGCATGAGAAAGAAAAGGAACTAAATATAATGTGTCGTAATTTTAAAGACCCGTGAATTTAAAACTTTTATATAAAGATGAAGCCATGCCTCAGATAGGATGAAAAGAAATCTTAGAATATTAAATATTCAAGAATATATATGAGCTATTTGAAACAAAAGGTAAATTTTATTATTTAATTAATAAATAATCGTTGCTACGTAAATATTATTTTTAATTAAATAAAGTAGAATTTCAAAGGAAATTAGCAAAGGGCGTTTCTTAAATAATAAAAGATGCATTAACTGAAAAAAATGCTACAAATTCTGCTTTAGATTTTTCTATTTTGTTTGACACATTCATTAAAATTAAATAGAATTTATGGACATCATGTAGAATATGATTAAAGAAGCTTCAGTTACAGTTTGAACGTGACAAATTTAAAATAATTTCTGCCATATTTTTGAAGAAAAAAACTGTTTCTGTTAGCTTATGCAGAATTTATAAAACCGAAAACGAAAATGAAGCGCTAATTTTTAATGCAAATGAAAAATCTTAAATTAACTCTTATTTACTTAAAGTCAAACAGAAATGTTTTTAAATTTTATGCATACGGAAACTGTAAATCAAAATTTGTTTTTTGTTTTTTTAGCAGGAGACAAACGATTCACAATTTTTGTACCTTTTTATGTCTTGACATTTTAAAACATATTTAAAAATAAAAGAAGAATATACAAAAGTGATAATAACATGAGTATATTTCTAATATTTAGTTGCCACTCTGTAAAAAACTCCGGGTCTATTACCGTATAAAATACTGGCACTTTGGATGCATTATCCATAAAATCAATTTGACCGTAAAATATTATAATATTATCATAATTTTTAAAATTTAATTTTTAAAATGATATTTATTTTATTAGAATGAATCAGCAATTTTACTGTAATTATTATGGTAAAAATTAAAGTTTTTTTGCTCTCTATCATGTTCCGTAATACTTGAAGCAGAGCTTGTTGCATACAAGAACTTGTGAATTTTGTAGGTTTCAAGATGTCTGAAGAAATATCTAACGAGAGAATAAAGAAAACATCAGTAGTTAAATACGCATCAGATATTTTTAAGGAATCATCTTTGAGTGCTTTAACTGGAATTTTGACAACAGGCAGTATCAAAAGGAAAATTTTTAAATCTTTTATTTTTCTGATATTTACAATTGCATTTATATATCAAGTGATTACTTTTCTAAGTTATGTTTTAGAATTTCCAACTGTTGTAAATATTGACATCGTTAAGCCCGAAAAATACATAGCCCCAGCATACACATTGTGCCACAGCCAAAAGTAAGTCAGTATTTTACTAAATAATTTTTAACGTTTATTTTACTCTGCATAAGTTAAATTTTAATAATTCACTAAATGTTTCAAAGAGAGGGCAATGAAGCTTGTAATAATATTTTCAGTAGGTAGTTCATATTAAAATGCAAATTGTGCGTAAGTAAATAATATTATTTTAAAATTGTTTTCTCCATGACAAGCAAGGGAGTCAATGGGAAAATTTAATAACATACAGTCGAACTCGTTTATAACGAGCACAAAGGGACCGTAACATGTACTCGTTAAATCCGAGTGCTCGTAATAAAAGGGTCCTTAAGGCAGACGTGCAATCAGAAGAGGGGGGCGGGGCTTGGGAGGTCAAATGATTGAGTTGACTTAAAATCTAATTAATACTTACTTACTTTAATTACATTAATTAATTTAATTAAATATTTATCTTAATTTACTAATCTTATTATCTTAATTTAGTCACTAATTAGTGACAACTAACCCCCCCTCAAACCAGCAAAAAATTTTTAGCTGCGCTACAGTCTTAAAGGAAAGGAAATATAAACGGAAAGGAAAAGATTCTTACCAAAACATTTATTTTTTTCATTAATCTGCATATTTAAAATAGTTTGTCAGCTTACTTTTAAATCGCGCATTTCATATCATTTTGAAAAAAAGATAAGACTAGAACGATGAGAAAAAAGATTGCCAGACAGAAAAATATTGCTCGCTAAAACCGGGTCTTGCTCGTTAAAAGCGACTTCTGTTCCATAGACTTAATATTGATCCAACCAAACATTCTCGTTTCCCTCGTTAAATCCGAGTTCTCGTTAAATCCGAGCTCGTTATAAACGAGTTCAACTGTATATTAAAATACTGAACCTGCTATAAAACAGCGAAGTAATTTAATGAAACAGCTATGACAGTAAGTATTTTAAACCAAACTCTAATTAGTTATAAAATAAATAGAAGCAAATATCCACTGAGTTTAAACTTTAAAGATGAGGTGTTTTTACTATTATATTAAAATATGATTTACCTTAACAGTTTTTTTTCCTCTTACACAACTGACTTAATATATAGCAGTAAACTAAAGGACTAAAAGTGAACAAGTAAAGGAGTGACTAAAAATCTAGGAGTAAATAAGTTAAAGCACAATTAACAATGATATGCAACAATGATATTATAAAATGGATGGTTAACGGTATTGAAAGTTTATTTTACATTTTTAGACTTACAAGTCACAGTAGCACATAACAACGCTCACACACGCACACAAAAGAAAAGAAAAAAAAGCACTTCAAGAGATGCTAATTTCTATTTTTTTCCTCTTAAAAATGACACACGACACAAAGGACATTAAACTTTTATTTTATCTTTATTGCTAATTTTTTCCCAAAACACTTAAATGGTTAAAACATATTTGCTTATACTGTATCAGTTTATGTTAGTATAAATATGTATTTTAGAATGAGAAGAAGTAAATACTGTGAAAAATATCCGGACCATTGTTCTCCAACGGATGATAGCACAGATATAAGGGTAAAAACTTCCTTAATTTAATATTATCTAATGCGAAATTGTCACCACACAAATTAAATAAACCCGCCACTTTTTTCAATCGCTTTTGTTAAAAATCGTTCAATGATAAAAGTACATCAAATGTAGAAATATACTCAGGAAAACAGAATTTTCATTCAAATGTACATATTGATTCTTCAGAGTCCGTTAATTTGTGGAGGAAAGATTCACGTGAAAGGAAATTTCTTTAGCATTTCACAAAGTTTTAATGTATACATTTACTTTAATTTCCCTCTTTAAATACTTTTTCATAAAGTTCTTTAAAATCTGTAGGTTTAACTAAATTCTGTCACATATTTATATAGTTAAAGACTATTATGAGTACTATGTTGAATTAGTTTCGTACAGCCAAAAATTCTTCTGTATAAAAAATTTTTTTATCAAAAATTTAATCCAAACAAAAATAGGTGTGCAAAAAGCGGCTATTAAATTAAAAGGATCTATCGATATCAGTTGCCGATTAATTTGGTTTGAGAAAAAAGTGACTACTAAGTCAGTAAAGTCTTCAAGCCTTACTAACTCAAAATTTATTTTGCCGGACTAGTTGGTAAGTAAGTCGTTAATTAGCAGCTTAAATGCATCGCATTTATTACAACAAAAAACAATAAAACGCTCATAATATATATTAACAAATTCAACCGCTTGTTGGCTGTTCCGATTACAATTCCTATAAGATCCGCTTGTCGTTACTTGAAAAATATCATATTCAGCTAGATTTAAGACAACCATTTATTAGTATAAAATACAATTACTACTTACTGTTTTGTATTCTATTAACAAATAAGTAAGCTGCTATTTATTTTTTATAGGTTAAAGATGAATATCTTCGTAATGCTTCGGAGAAAGACATATTTTTGTTTGGATATGGTTTGGACGAAATGGTTTTGGACATCGAAAGGTACATACAAATTTAAAATATACATTTTATGCATTGATAAATTGAATTGACATTTAGCCTTATTATATAAAATGCCACAACCTACCCATTTTAATTTTGTTTTGTTTTCTACGAAACTATTTTAACAATTATTTCAAGAAGACGCCAACATTACTGATAAAAACATTTCCTGACTAAGTTGCGCAAAAGCAACTGTCCTAAAATTTGATAAATGAATGTATGCAACCTTGAGATTATAATATAATGCAATCAAAATTAAGATAAGAATAGTGTTCTGGAACAATAAATTTTATAGTATTTATATAGTTCGATTATATATATATATATATATATATATATA